TCTTTTTGCTTATGTGGTGCTGAGGAATCAAACCCAGGGCCTCAGGCATGCAAGGCAAGCGCTCTACCACTGAGCCACCTTCCCAGCCCCTAGAGGGAATCTTAAAGACACTTATTCAGATAAGTAATGTCTAGGGGTTGAGGGGGGAGATACAAAAAACGGAGATCTTATTGTACAGTGTTGTTACTGCATTAAAACTCAAGTCTGGCTGGGTGTGATGGTACATGTTCACAATCCCACCATTCTAGAGGCTAATGTAGGAGGATTGGGAGTTCAAATCTAGCTTGGGCTACAGAGTGAGACCCTTTCTCAAAACTAAATAAATGATTAAATAAAATTTAAAAATAGCCAAGTGTCTGTGGCTCACATCTATAAACCTAGCTACTCAAAAGGCTGAGATCTAAGAATCATGTTCAAAGCCACTGGAGTAGAAACGTCCACGAGACTCTTATCTCCCATTAACCACTAAAAAGAAAGCTGGAAGTAGATCTATGGCTCAAGTGGTAGAGCGCTAGGCTTGAGCAGAAAAAGTTCAGAGATAGCACCCAGGCCTTGAGTTCAAGCCTCAGAACCAGCACAAAATAAAATAAAATAAATGAAAAAAAAATTAAAATTAAGACAAAAGACAGACTCATGAAATTTATAAAGTTTCATTTGATTTTTTTTTTAAATCTCTAGTCTGAGGATGGAACCTAGACTCTCACATATGCTAGGCAAGTGCTCTATCACAGAGCTAACCTTCCCTCACCCAAGGTTCTATTTGACTTTAATAAAATTAATGTGGCAGCAATGGTCATCTTTGCTAATTACATGACCATCATGTGTGCTATAGTTGGTTCTAAAATGTCCTACAAAAGTCATGTATTAAACTCTTAGTCACCAGCCTGAGAGACTAGTGGAAGGTAGTGGCCCCTTTCAGAGGCGGGGTCTACTAGGAGGAAGTCAGGTCGGGAGGAGGGCCCACCGTTGGGGTTGGTATTGGGCCCACCTCTTCCTGTCTCTCTTTGCTTCCTGTCAGCCATGAGGTTGTGTGTCCTCTGTCACCTTAAGGCACTGTCTCCCAAAGGCCCCAAACCAAGTGGCCTATTGCTACCTGCTAAGGACTGAAACCTCCAGACGGTGAGCTCCAAACCCACCATGTCCCTTAAATGAATTATTTCAAATATTTTGTTGCTATAATAGAAAGTTTGATATAGTATGTGGATCTTCAATATGAGACAACTCGTAGGTACTTTATGAACATTAACATTTTACAAGTATGCCAAGACATTACGCGAAACATGTTTGTACTTCGAAAGGAAAAACAGTCATGTGCCCCATAATGATATTTCAGTCGGTAATGAACACATAAACCGGGCAGACATGGTAGCATATGCCTGTAATCTCAGTTATGGAGACCTTGAGTAACACGCTCAAGGCCCTGAGTTCCATTTCAAGCACCAAAAACAAAACAAAAAAATGATGGGAGATGAGAGAAGAGGTTGGCATGTTGGTGTACATCAATAATCCCACTGAGTGGGAGAGTGGGCTGGGAGGTCATGAATTAGGGTATCTAGTAAGACCCTGTCTCAAAACAAAGAAAAGGCCTTATATATTATTATGCGGGCAGCAAAGAATACTACAAAATTATATGTAAATTATGATGTCGGCTTTGGACAATGAATTTCTTTCTTTTTTCTTTTGTTTTTTTGTTGGTCATGGGGCTTGGACTCTGGGCCTGGGTGCTGCCCCTCAGCTATTCAGCTCAAGGTTAGCATTCTACACTTGAGCTACAGCGCCACTTCCGGTTTTCTGGTGGTTTATTGGAGGTTGGAGTCTCACGGACTTTCCTGCCCCGGATGGTTTTGAACCATGATCCTCAGATCTCAACCTCCTGAGTAGCGAGGATTACAGGCAGGAGCCACCAGCAACCGGCTTTAGATAATATATTTCTTATGTATGATGACATTAGAAGGAAGTACATCAGAAAGATCACAGATATGCTTTTTGGCTGTGATTATGTCTGGCTTTGTTAATTAGCATCAATTGTTGAATAGGTCTCCATTTTGACATGTTCATATATATAATATGTAATATATAATGTGTTCAATGTACTTTGATCAGACCCACCCCACCCATCACTACCCTCCTGCCCCTCCCCTAGCCAATCTTCACCAACTTTGTTCCATTTTCACATGTGTACATAAAGTATTTGGGTCATCTGCACACTCTCCATTTACCTAGCTCCCTTCTACTAAAACTTGGACTGTGATTCTTAAAGTAGTATATATGTTCTAAATGTTCTGTTGCGACTATATTGCTTTTGCAATGAACAGAACCTGCCAAAGCTTAGCTGTCTGGCGATCTCAAACTTCCACGGGCATTGTTAGAAGGAAGATGGATGCACTTAAAAAAAAAATCAGAGCCGGGCGCTGGTGGCTCACGCCTGTAATCCTAGCTACTCAGGAGGCTGAGATCTGAGGATCGAGGTTCAAAGCCAGCCCCGGCAGGAGAGACCGTGAGACTCCTATCTCCAATAAGCCACCAGAAAACCAGAAGTGGCACTGTAGCTCAAGTGGTAGAGCGCTCGCCTTGAGCTGAAGAGCTGAGGGACAGTGCCCAAGCCCAGAGTTCAAACCCCACGACCGACAAAAAAAAAAAATCAGGTGCCTGTCACTGTGGCTCACACAGAAGAGGTGGCTCACAAGAGGCTGACATCTGAGGATTGTGGTTCAAAGCCAGCCTGGGCAGGAAAGTCCATGAGACTCAGAAAACTGGAAGTGGCATTGTGGCTCAAGAGGTAGAGCGCTAGCCTTGAGTTGAAGAGCTGAGGGACAGTGCTCAGGCCCAGAGTTCAAGCCCCAAGACCGACCAAAAAAAAATCAGGCTATTTATTCTCCTTCTAAA